AGCTCTCTTCAACAAGGACAAAATGCATAACCTAAAGACATGCCCCCAGTGACCCACCTCCTCCAGCCATACCCTACCTACCTATAGTTACCACCCAGTTAATCCCTGTCAGAGGATTAATGCACTGTGGGATTAATCCCCACTGTGGGATTAATCCCCACTGTGGGATTAATTGATTAGTTTAAATCTCTTATTACCCAATCATTTCATCTCTAACTTTTTTTGCACTGTCTCACACATGAACTTTTGGGTACACCTAATCTAAGCCATAACTGTAATCGTACTATCTTCTGGTAGAGCTAAATTATATTGTATATAGTATTCTCATCATTCAACTCTAATGACGGGTTGTTATTTTTACAGATGCTTTTTACAAATCAATTCCAAGTTTTTATGCTGAGTTTGGAAACAATTTGATTTTCTACTGTGCTCAAGCATGGTGGTGAGTTTTAAATTTAAATACTATATTCTTTAATGTTATAATTTTTCTCTTAAACTTTTCTTCATTGATTTTAAACCTAGATTTTTCAGTACAAGTTCTCTGTGAGATTATCAGTAGCCAAATAAATAAATAAATAAATAAATAAATGGGAGCTTTTCCATGTAGATCACGTCCCAAGGTTTACAAAGCACACAGCTAAAACTACATACTTTTCTGCTGTACAAATAAAAAAAGACATTTGGGTTGAATATGTGTCAGTTGTCTTAAAAGTTGAAGGGTATAGTTATTACTTTTTAGTATTTGAAGCATTTGAAAATGTTTGAAATACATGTAAGTACGACATGATTATAATACTTAAATTATGTGGCACAGGCTATTTTTTTTCGGTTTGTACTTAAGAATAATGGTAATAGTAACAAGAATAACATTTACTGAGTTATTTCTATGTTCCAAGAATTCTGCAAATTCTATACCAATGTTGAATCAGTTGGTCATCTGTGCAGTAGTAGTACTATTATGTTCATTTTGTAGTTGAGATACTTTGGTGTAGATAACCAACCAATAAGTAAAGCTGCTGGTTTTTGGAACCCAGAGGCCAAACCTCTAGTACCCATACCTAAATAATTATTAAATTGTTGAAATTTAGTGATGTTTTTAAAATATTTAAAATTAGTGATTAGATATATCTGTTTTAAATGAATTCATTGATTAACCATACTTATTACATTTCAGTCAATCAAGTATTGCCTACTTTTTTCACCCTGGTAATAAAGAAACAAAATCCCTGAAACTTACTATTTTTAAGAAATTACAGAATAAGAGTTACTTTAATAAGAAAACATTGCCAGTGGAGGCATTTCTTGGTTCTCTAAATCATGCTTATATTTAACCAGTAAAAGTAGATTCGATTTATAGGAGTTAAGACTAGGATCAGGCCTAAGAAATACCAAGTTCAACTCCCCTACTGTAGGGGAGAACATTTTTAAGTATGGAAGGTAGGGCTGAAAGAAAGATAAAGAATAAAAGTCTCAGGTGAGTCTCAGGTGAATTGTCCTGGGTCTCATGGTTAGTGGCAGAAAAAAATACCGTATGAAGCATGTTCCACTTTCCAAATAAAAACTCACATACTTACTTCCATAGGTTGGTTTGAGTTTTGAGGAGAAACTTTAGCTCTGAACTTTCCTCTCCTTTTCAGTATGCAGTCCTTTGGGCCCTGGACCTGAGAAAGATGACATGCCACTTGACACGTTCATGGAGGGTTTTCTGGATGACACGTATCTGGGGCCAGGGCTCTTTTCTCTTAACAGATGTGTTTATACACAAATGGTGCCAGCCAGCTTGCATCTTGTAAACAGTCAGCTCACAGTCCCCTCCCAATAAAACTTTCTTGCACTCACTCTATAAAAAGGCACAGCAACAAAAGAACAGGCCCTGCCCTGGCGTGCAAACCTATACGGCACACCTTAGTGTAGTGCCCTGATTGGCATGCCCCTCCATCTGGAAGACTGGAGGAGGGAGATGCTTTCTACATTTTTCTCTTTTGCTGACCTTGGTTTTGGAAGTTTCCTCTTCCCAACATGGTCTTTTCCCTAGTCCACACTGTTGGATGTTGTGGAATTATTTTCTTACATTTTGAAGAGATTAAAAGTAAAACATTCATATTATTATCATCTGTACCTGATATCACTGCTGATGCCCCCCTGCTTACGTAACAAACACCTTATAGTGTCTCAAAGTTTCTTAATAAAATATCCACAGGACCAAATAAGGTCAAAGAAGGAATACCTGTAATGTTCAGAGCTGGTGAAATGTCACAGAAGTGAGTAACACAGACATCTGTGGGATCAGAGACAAAGAAAAATATTATCACTTAAAATTATTGTATTTTACATCAATTAAAAAATAAGCTTATTTATGAAGAGTTTATAATATCATGTTGTAGTGGATGCTGTAGTTTAAATGTGCCTCTCAACCTTCATGTATTTTGAGAACTGCAGATTTAGTTCAGTGGCAAAGTGCTTGCCTAGCATGTGTAAGGCCCTAGGTTCCACCTGCAATAACAGATGTGCACACACACACACATATTTATATGCTGGAAGCAATTCCTAATGAAAAGGTTGGGATGGGGGGCCTTTGCAGGGAACATCTAGATCCTGAGGGCTCCCTTGTCATGAATGGAATTGATACTGTCATGGAAAAGGCTTGCTGGGGTATGCTTGCTCTCTTCTGCTCTTCTGCAATGTGAGGATACATTGCCCTTCTCTTGCCCTCTGCCTTTTGCTATGTGAGGATAAAGTTAAGACAGTCACCTCTTTAGATAGTAGTGATTTGATCTTGGATTTCCCAGCTCCTTGAACTGTGAGAGAACTGTTCTTTACAAGTTTCCCAGTCTCAGATGTTCTGTTATAGCAGCACAAAATGGACTAAGACAGTAGACAACTATTTTTGCCTGTCCTTCCTTCTCTCCTTTGGGTGACATTACTTCAGTATCTCAGGACACACTTCCTTTTTCCTGTTGCATTTGCCCTTGCTGGACTGTCTGTCAAAATGTCCGAGTCTCTCTTTGGAGGAAATTTGAATATTGATCAGAAGCTAGGAACAAAGGTGCAGCCAACGTATTCTGTTTTTGTTATGGAGAGACTATCCTGCTATTTAGACGTATCTTTGATTCTGATGACTACCCCAACACTTTTCAATAACTTTCTTATTTAGCACACTTTGTTTCTCAAATTGCTACCC